TTCATGCATTATGAATTTGAATATAGGAGGCATCAAGAGGAAAACTTCCTTATACAACCTTGGAAAAAAAACCTGAGCTGTGTACTTTGTGATTTTGCCCTTGAAAATGGAAATCTAATATCTTTTGATTTTCAGTTCTCCCTACTCACCTATACACATCATTGAGGAAGTGTTTTTGGAGACAACATTAATAGGGCCAATCAATTAATTTTTTATTTGTACATTGTGCTATTTTGTATTTGTACATTTGTACCTTGTGCTATTGTGAAACACATTCCTTTAGCTGAATTTTAAAATCTATTTGATGAGGAGCATTTATGTCTAGGAACATTGTCAGTGAGCAAATCTGTGAAAGTTTTGTAGATCTCATTAAGTATTACATTGATGCTGTGGACTGTGCAAACAATTAAACTTTCAGGTATATTTCTTTAAGCCATATGATTAAGCATCTACAGGCAAAAACTAGGGAACAAGAAAGAACAGTGTCTAATCCATGTTTGAGTGTTAAAGGAGTAAGCATCCAAAGTGGGCCTTGTGAGAAGCTGGATTCCACCAAGAAATCTCACAGAGCTTCTTCTGTTGAGAAGAAACAAGGAAATAATTGTTGGCTTTCAAATGCTGTTAAAATAAACTTTTCTGAGAGATTATGAGGGAGAATGGAAGAGATCAACTGAGCACTTTATCTTAATAGAACTAGGAGATAATTTAATTTAGCATGTTGTACAAGACAAAATAAATAAGGCAATAGATAATAAACCAGGTAGAACACAGGTGTCAAACTCAATCGTGTCACATGACATATCGTGACATTTTTTGCCTTTGTGGAACCAGGGTGGGTGTGGCCTGCGCGTGATGCATCCTGCCCATGGGCCGCCAGTTTGACACCCCTGAAGTAGAATTACCAGCTTAGAGGTGTAGCAGTTCCTTTTCCTTTATAGAAACTTTGTGCTAAATGGTGAATGTGGTACTTAGGCAACATCTTATTTTGTTCCTATGCAACTTTTCTTTTGCAGTGTCCCTTTTCTGACAATTTTTTCTGATGATTCACAGACATATGGACATCTGTTTGAGAACCATGGTCTGTGGTGGTTACAAATTCTTCGAGAGATATTTTCATACTTTTGTGATATAGTGGCCCAATTCACATTTTGCCCCAATTAGGGTTTAAGCACATTTTGATTAAATCACAATTTGCTGGGTTGACACATCATGCTGATCAGCAAACCATGGCTGGGCATGCACAATTGACACATTAAGCCAAGACCAACAAACCAAATTATGTCTTAGTGTTCTTTGTGAATCCATGCAGTGACCATTGTTTTGATGTTCGGCTGGGAAGCTCTGTATCTGCATATTTATTGCAGTAAACACTATCTTAGCAGGCTGACTAAGGAATTCTGGGAGCTGAAGTCCACAAATCTTAAAGTTGCTAAGGTTAAGAAACACTGATTTAGTGAAGCAATGGATGGAAACTAATCAAGGAGAGAAGCAACCTAGAACTAAGGAGAAACTTCCTGACAGTTAGAACAATTAACCAGTGGAACAACCTGCCTCCAGAAGCGGTGAATGCTCCAACACTGGAGGTTTTTAAGAAGAGACTGGACAGCCATTTGTCTGAAATGGTATAGGGTTTCCTGCCTGAACAGGGGGTTGGACTAGATGACCTCCAAGGTCTCTTCCAACTTTATTATTATTATTATTATTATTATTATTATTATTATTATTATTATTATTATTATTATTATTATTATTATTACTACTACTACTACTACTACTACTACTACTACTACTACTACTACTACTACTATTATTATTAACCTCCCTAGGGCACTGCTGCTTTCCACCAGGGCAAATTATAAACACTTAAAATAGGAGGACTGCAAGTTTCCTCTGCTTTTAAAAAAAGAGAATCTATCACTATTATTATTTAAACTTAATTTTATTTATTTTAAAAAAATTCTGCAGGGTATGTTAATTGATATCTTTTTTACAAGTAAATAAGAGCCAGGAAACCAAATATAAAGTAGAACAGTCTGGTTTTATTATTTTGTCATCAAGAGTCATTTTTCTCCCTTCCCTTACCATTTTATTTCTTTTGTAAAACACTTCAACTCTTTCCCTCCCCTTCTTCTTCTTTTTCTTCATTTTGTTTACAACATACATTAAACTGTGAATCTGATGATGTTAGGAGTTTGTGGAGATGTAGGGAAGTTGGTGACAACACAGTATTTTTTTTTTACAACTTTACAACAAAAGAGAGTGTCTGAGGTGGCTGCATCTACCGGAGTATACCAAAGGTGGAAAGAAAAGGCACACATAGGTCTAAGAACCTTTACACACAAAGGGGTAAAAATGGGGCGAGGAGGAGGAGGAAAGACGTGAAAGAGTCTAAACAGAAAACAAAACAGAGTAAAAAAAAAGGGGGGGGCATCTCAAGGTGAACCCCGTCATTGGTGTGATGTATATTATAAAGGCAGATCCCTGAACAAAGCTGCAATAATTATTCATTTCTCCATTAGGACATACTGCTTGGCTAAGAAGTAGCAGGGGGTACCATGCCCTTCAGAGTTTAGGGACTGAGCTTCAAGGAGGAAAAACAAAAGTTTGCTTAACTTTTCATATGGCTCCCTCATAGTTTAAAAAGAGGCTGGGGGTGGTGGTGAAGGGGAAAACAAAAGGAAATCCCAGAAAGAAGCTTGCTTTGACTTTACACTACCCAGCCCACCAAGAGCATACAAAGAGGCAGAGACAAAAGGAGGCAGGTCCCTTTGGTTCCGATCGTCCTGATTTTCCTAATGATTTTCCTAAATATGCTGCTCCCAGCCTGAAGATTTTTCCCCTCCAGGGAAACCATTTGTGAATGCTCTCCCCTCAGAGGCAACGAAACCAGCCCCACTGGAGTGTCTTCTCTTCTAAAGCCTCGTTCCTCCTTCCCAAACATTCTGTCCAGACAATATCAAACATGCACATCAATTTCTCTCTCTTTCTTTTTGCCACACTAGGCTGACATAGCTGTAATGACAATTTAAATGAGAACAGCTAAGCACAAGCAACCGAGACTTTGTCAAACTACAGATTCCTGCACATGCTCTGCCTGTTTTCCCCACCCACCCATACAAGTGAAAGCTGGATTTCTCTTTTACAAGAAACAGTAGGTTGTAACAATTAACTGGGTTTGCTTTCCCACTGAGAACCAGCAGGAGCCAGCCTGCTTTATGTTTATTTCCATTTTATTCTATAGGCTATACAGTCTTAGGCCTGGATTGTTTTGTGCCAGAATGTCAACAGCACACAGTGCTTGACTTTGGTGATACATCACATTACTGGCAATGAGAAAGGATAGGTTTCCATACAGAAGTGATATCAAAATATCCTGTTTGCTGTCACCAAACAGTATCTAAACTGCCAGGATAGCACAAAAGTAATGTGAAGGCCAAAATGAGCATGATTAGGCTTTACATCAAAGCAACAGATATTGTCACCAAGCTTTGCCTTCTTGTGGATTAGAGGGCTGTTAATTCTGCAAACCAAAATGTGAAACTGACGATCCTCCAGTTCTTTAGGGCAGGGCTCTCTATACTTGGCAACTTTTAAGACTTATGGATTTTAATTCCCAGCATGGGAGTTGAAGTCCAAGTCTTAAAGTTGCCAAATTTGGTAGATCCTTATTCTAGGGGAATAAGAAAGGGTAGAGATAAATAAATATCTGATTTATTTGAAGGAGAAGGGAAACGATTGTACATACTACAGTTCACAAATATACACAACTGAAGGTGTAAGGCACAAATTTACATGTGGGGAAAAAACAGATGTATTCTCATCAAAACAAACTCAGTGTGATAGAACTGAAAACTATGCCTGGGGGGGGGGAAACCAGTGTGCGGATGAAAAATGCACTGTGCATTTTTGTTTGTCGGTTTGCCATCTCACGTGCAAGGATGAAATGAGATGGCAGAGATCGAGTGGGTGCCTTCACAGAAAGGATCAACTACTGACAAAAACTGTGTTCATGGCAGTGGGGCGTGGAAGTGGAGTGTTCAAAGAGTTTATTTTGTAAGACATTAGTATTTTAGGAAGAAAAGAACTTTAGGGAAAAATGGCATAGTGGGAGGTTTCTTCCTTGGTCTGCCACCTGACCTTAAAAGCTGGAAGCCAGCCTGCAGAATGGACTGACACTGAAGTAAGTATTTCCCTCTAGTTAGCTTTCCATACAAGACCAGGGGGTTCAAACACAAAAGTTCAGAATTCCATCACCAACTTATTTAACTCAGTGAATTTATTGGAAAAAATAAAAAGAGTTTTAATTACTCTAGTTAATGGGGTTTCTCGTTAAATAGGCATAATTTTCAATGCATTTTGTTTTTCCTTCTGGAAAGAGTTGCTCACATGATGGTAGGCATAAGTGATTTCCTTAGGATTTAAAAAAAGACAAAAAAGATGAACAATAAATAATCATAGTTACTTGCGTTAACAGTCACATGTTATTCATTAAGAGAGAAGAGTAGCAATAACCTATGACAGAGTTGTTCTTGCCCAACATGGCAAATCTGCTATAATTAAAAGGCTGTAACACTGATGGGCTTTCACAGTACCTGCATATAGTAAGAGTCTGTCATGGTTCAGTAAGAGTTAGCTTAAACAATGGGTTCCTTTTGTCTTTTTGTGAGTTGTTCCTTTCTCAGGGCATTTTTGCTTTCAAAGCACTCATTTCCCAGTTCTAGGATGTTCTGTGCAGTTAAAAGTGAAGGATCACAGTCATCTTTCGTGTGTGTGCTTTTGGCTCAATGTTTGCAGTTAGTCTTTTGAGTGAAGAGCTGTTGTATTGTGGGGGTGGGTCCTACAGTTGCAAACCATAGTCTGTATGGCCCAATTCCTTAAAAATATTCCACTTTTCCCCAGAGCAGAATGTCCTTCAGCTTTGCAGTTTCTTGGTCAGTTGAAACTAGCATTGCCATTGCTGAATCCTGGTTTTTAAGGATATTCCATGATCCACAGCTGTCCCCCCCACCCCACGGTGATTATGTACATGCATCATTAGGCTTCATGGATGCTGAAAGAGGGGAAAAGGAGGGCTTGGGGGGTACATCTGGTTTTAACGATGGTGTGCGTTTCAACCCTGATCTTGTCAGCGAGTTGTATGTGGTGAGACTGGGCTGCCTAGAAACAGTCACAGTCTGACCCTGAGTAGCATGGACTTGTATGGAGTCCACTCTTTGTGGGGCAGGAGGAGGGTTGTCTCCCCTGCCAAAACTCTGATTTCTTGAAAGGTGGGAGGAATTAGAAGAATTAGTGTTATTTCTTTTGAGTGTTGATGTTTGGTGATTTCTCGTGAGCGAGTTCGTGGGGTAGTTTCTCTTGTAGTCCACGTTATAAGCAGAAGAATGCATCTCCAGTCGCTTTCCCAGACTGCTCTGAGCAAGAGAGGACCCAGGGGGACCAAGAGAAGCTTCCCTCTGGGGGACTTTTGGTGGCATACTATCCAAGTTTTCCACAAGATTCACCCCGTGGTTTGGGCTTTTGCCACTGAGATGCTCTTTTATGGTTTTGTACTCGAGAGTAGCATTTTGGTCCTCCATGGCCATCTGTGCCACATCGCTCATTTTAGGCTGATCAACATATTCATGCTGATAGCTTTGCTGAGAAATAGGCAGGACTACAACGCTTGGGATGTGACTGGGGGAAGCCCTGAGAGGAAGGTCTGTAGGAATCACCGGTGATGCCATAGGGGGAATATCTTTTGTGCAGGCATTGATGAGATTCTGGTTTCTCTCCCAGTCTCTGCTGCCACGGCTTGGCTTCCTCTTCTGCTGAAGTGTCGGGGTGGACTCTGGAGTAGGTAGAGCAGCCAAGTCCAGATGATGTTGGTCAGCTTTGATGAGCATCTTGGCTGTGCTTCCCGGAGTAGCAAGCTTACCGTTGTGCATGAGAGGGGTGAGAATGGCTTCAGGCTTTGGCTCTTTGGACTGAGTGTCTCCAAAGAGACCACTGAGCTTGGTGACACTGTTCATTGAGCCTCGGCGAGATTGGACCAGCTCCTTCTCCTTCCTCTGCACAATGGTCACATCTCGACGCCGATGGTCACAGATGCAGTATACTATGATCCCCGAGAAGACAGCTCCCATGACAAAGGCAAGAATGACTGCTATAGCCAGGAGGGTGACAGGCACCAACTGATCATGCCCTTTGAGATAACTCTCACGGATCACTCCTGCAACAGATATCACAAAATGGTAAGCAGAAAAGTACATGCTCAAATAGAATGATTCACTTTAACAACACTACAACAATACACTAGATGCCGCTCTGGTGCTCTGGCAGAATAACTGGTTTGGATTATATTACATTTGATAGAAAATTCCTCAAATGGTACTTTAATGTCTGTAGTGACCCTGGATTTTGCCAGTATGTTGTCCCTCTACTTTCCATTAATTGGCCAGGAACCAACCATGGGCTCTTCTGGATAGGATGAAAATTCATGTATCCAAAATGTTTTAGGAGATCTGCATTGAACAGAGAGTTAGATGATCTGTGAGGTCAATTTCATCTCTGTGATATTAGAACTATATTGTGATGAACATTTGCTTAACAATGTCATCATATTTTGCAGATTATTTGAATATATGTAGTAAAAATCTACACTGCTATAATTACAGGTAAAAAAATTGCAGCAGAACAACAATGAAGCTGATTATCCTGGATGACAAGGCTTTGCAGAAAGCCCAGATTTTTTTACACAATTAGAATAATATTTTAATGAATCTGGTGTTTCATTACTCACTATGAAATTGAACTGTTGTTCCTTTATACAAGTGCCATGAAAGATGCATGGTATATCTACATACAATGTAAATTTTATGATTTTAGAAGCTGAAATGTTTTTTTTAAAAGACCAATTTTAACATTAGTTCTCTGTGGAAATTAGTATGCTGCAATAAGAAATTTGATATTTCATATAAGGATAATTGGCTAAGAATAAACCTGAAGAATAAACTTCTCTAACTTTCTCACATTCAGGTATCTCCACTAAGTGTCGATTTTCTTTTTCTTAAATATATATCCTGCATTTTTAACTCAACAAAGTTAAAAACAAAACCAAGAAATACACATAACGTAAAACACAACAGTAAAATCAATACATTTAAAATCTAATTCAGAATCAGTATCAGTGCAATACTTAAGTCAAAAGTTTAATGATAGAAATATGTTTTTGCATGTGTCCTAAATACGGGGCCAACGGGACCAAAGATGTCTCCTTGGGAAGAGCTCTTCTAAGCCCATGAGTCACACCTACCAGACAGCCTTGTCAGAGGCAAACCACCTCTTATGGGGAAATAACAGACACTCCTGGGAATTTTTATGAATGGGTCTAATTCTCATTTAAATTCATCACCTCATATACTGCAATAAATCCCATCGTATTAAGCATGCATGTGGTGAAAAAAGATCTTTGTCTTGTTTCTCCTTGATGGAGAAAAATATTTCTATCTGCTTCCAATGCACATATTTTAATTTGATAATAATAATAGTAAAAAAAACCTAATGTTATTGTATTGAAGGATCCAAGGAGGCTGTTCTGGAATATTGTTTTAGATTTTTAATACAATGGGGTTCTCTTTAGTGTATTACTTTTAAATCTATAAAACATGGTGAACTCATTATTAATGGACAGTTTATTCATTTTAACAAGTGGGGCCACCGCAAGTGAAGCTGAAAGAAAATGGAGTTCAGGATTCCATATGCTCCATTCTGCTCCCTGTCCTTTTCCATTTTTTAATGTTCCCAACTGCACTAGTTGCATTCAAGTAGATATTAGACAAACATATGTCTGCAATGTCTTAATTTGGATTTTTGGACTGGACAAAGAGTTTGAATTGATGGCCTAATTCAGTGTTTCTCAACCTTGACAATTTTAAGGCATGTGGACTTCAACTCCCAGAATTCCACAGCCAGCATTGCTGGCTGTGGAATTCTGGGACTTGAAGTCCACATGCCTTAAAATTGTCAAGGTTGAGAAACACTGGCCTAATTGGACCATGCAAATTCTACAGTTTTAAGTTTAATCCATTCCTTAGATTAATCGCATAGGTTAAAAACAACTGTACCCCAGAATCACTTTCTAAATATGACCCAATAAGAAAGGCTGGATCCAATGAAAAAAAAAACAATGCTCCAAGATCCAATTCAACGAGGCAATTCTGAAGGGTTCATAGCTGATGAAAAGTCACCAAGTAATCTCAGATTAATGATCCTAAGGAAACAGCTGGCATCATGTACAAATCAACTATATGATCTAACTGAATATAGGAATATAGTATGATTTTGTTCACTTTGTAAAATATCATTAGCTTCACTATGTTCAAAAATATTAAATATGTCATGGTGCTTGACATTTCTCACTAGTGAAGTTATTAAGTTATTAAAGTAGTTGAAACAAAAAGAGCTTTGCAACGTCTACGGACTTGACAAAATGGATCTTTAAAAATAGCAGAGAGCAATGAGAGGCAAGGACTGTTCAAACTCATTACAGACTTGTTTCTGAAATCACAAATAGAAATGGCAAGATACCGATAAAACCCTTGATGTGTAGGTTTTCTAAAAACAGATTTTAGAGAAGGATAGATGATAGTAGAAAAGCCAAATAGAAGACTAGTTTAGGGTCAGGCATTGGTGAATGGAAACAAACAAGCTTGTCTTTGTCAAATTATAGGACAGATGACTAATATAAATGGGATCATTCTTCTAGTGCCATTTTTGCAGTGTAACCCTCCAAATGAATCCAACTTAAACTCTTATAATTCCCAGCAAAGGCAACCAAAACACATCTGGGTAAAGGCATTGGATTAGAAAAAGTTGCCATTTGCATCTTGATGGTGAAACTCTACTTATCTCCACAAAAGGCAAATCTGGGCTAGTGTTTTGCCAAGGAGTTTTTCTGTCTTTTTTCTTTTGGCCCCTTCAAGTCACTGTTGAGTCTTGGTGACTATATGGACTAGTCCCTGCAGTTTTGTTGGCAAAATTTTGGAAGTGTTTTTTTCTAGGGCTAAGATAGAGTGACTGGCTCAAGGTTATGCAGCTGGCTTTGTTCCTAAGATGGGACTAAAACTCATAGTCTCCTGGTTTCTAGCCTGATGCCTTAAGCACTACAATAAGTAATGTTAAGGCTTAGTGGGAGAAAAATAGAGTTACCTTTACAAAATGGGCACACCAGCAGCATAAATAACTATTTATTACTATCAGTGATGTTTGATTCACTTTGCTTCAGTCTATTCAAAATATTTTTATTACCTTATATTATATATGTTACATACATGTCAACAAAATGGTACCGGACGTGCCTATTATTTTTGTGATCACATCATTTACTAAGGGTAACCTTTTGTCTTCACAGTTGCAGTACTGCAACAACAACCACACTGACTGGATAAGGTGGCCATAGTGTGGCTTCCACAGCAGGGATCTGTCATCTTCTCCTTGTTGTTGAATTTAATATGGAGAAGACGACAAGACAGTCACCTTTCTTCCAGTCTTTGCAAATGCTGGCTTCCTTAGAAATGGGAGCAAAGTTCAGTAAGTGAAATACAATGGGATTTTTGGAAAGGGCGGGGAGGAAGCCACTAATTAAGTGTATAACCTTTCAGTGATTACAAGTTCTGACCAGAAACTGTACATGAAAAGAGTATGGCAGTTATTTTTAGCTTCCCAACTTGGAATGATGCCTGCCGTAGTTGGTTGGGAAGTGTCTCTCATCCACTTTCCTTACAACTCCAGACATGGCAGGGAATCGCTCAGGATGTCGGTCAATTCGGCAGCTGAGTCACTCTATACTAATTGCATCGCTCCTTTTGTTTATAACGAAGAAAATAAAATTCATTCATAAAGTGACAGGTTTTATTGTGTTAGAAACATATCCCTGTAGGCACTGTAATTTCATTTCTGAAATAGAGTCAATAAAGGTTTTAGCATTCCACTGATAACAGGACTGGGCTCCGATCACACTGGTTGCCTGAAATTACTTTTTGTCAGGGAAATGCCATATTAATAGGGAATTTTTCACACTTCCCTTCCTTCCCCCCCATCCAGGATTTTCTATACTGTAAATTTAAAACAGATTTAAGTCTTATTATAGACAAACAGGAAATGAAATTGGGTATTTTAGTTAAATTGAAAAGAATGTAAAAGCTTTTTAGACATTGTAAGACTCTTCTGATATGGCTGAGATGAAATAAAACATGGTCAGCTGTTTATTTTGGGAGATCTGAAGGCATCTGTTTATTTTGGGAGAGCTCTTGGCAGCTGGCATTTATTAAATTTAGATTTGAATATGCGAATATGGTTCATTGCAGATTACTAGATAATTTTAGTTCATCCCAGTTTCATTAGTTCTTTTCTGAGTATAGTATTCCTCTAAGGGTATAAAAATAAGACAGTGCTCTTGTAACTTTCCTGTCTAAGTCCTAGTGCTTTCAGATACGGCTAAACATCTGGATGACTGCTAGATGAAAACATATTTTTTTTGCAAATCTTTGTCATTTAGTGATCAACTTGCCATTCAGTCCTGGTAGCTTTAGCAAACGTACAAAAAATAGTTTCTGGATGCTGGATTTCTGCATACAGTTCTAGGAAAAATTATTTACCCTCTTTCACATTGTCTGAGTTTTTTTGTATATCTTTGCTATTAAATGCCATCAGAACTTCCTGTGGGCCCTATAAAGGAAATCTGAGGGATTAAATAATACTAAGGATAAAGGTCCTGCTGTCATTTCCTGTACTTTGTAAACAATGTAAACAAATCCAACATGCCTAAGTGGAAAAAAAGATATATTTTTTTTAGATTTAGTAACTTATAAGAGCAATCACTACAAGCAAGCTTTCCCCACAACTGTGATTAGTCTCTCATATAACTGCATAGAAATTCTGGTCTTTTCCTCCATGGTGAAGTGTTCAGTAACATTTCAGGCTTTTCTAGTATGATCCAACTTGTTTCAGGTCCTGTCACAACATTCTTTGGGCCTTAGATCTGAATGTTGTTGACCATTCCAAAAACCTGTATTGTCCTTATTCTCTTAGAGATATGTATGTATGGGTTGAGACCTTTGTCTTGCTATTATGACCCATTTTTCCTTTGGTTTCAGGTCAAGTGGACTGATATTTCCTGTACAATTCTCTGATACAAAGCAGAATTCATGCTTCTTTCAATGATTTCAGGTC